ATCAAAACTGACAACTGCTGTCGCCGTTGAGCAATGTCGTAGTGTTGTAGTGTTGTTGTTGCTGGTGCTGGTGCTGGTGCTGCTGGGTGCCGCTGCCGCTCCCGCTGCTACTAAATCTTAGAAGGGATTTGTTTCCACTTGATCATTGCCGGAGTCAATATAGAGACGAACTAGGGTTCGAGAAAATTAAAGGAATCTGTTAATAAGATATTTAACCATACCAGATCAGAATCCCTGACACAGAGAAATTTCTCAGGTTTTTTTCTTCTTGAATCGAGTTATCTATTTGATCTCTTTTTTTTTCTTTCTTCCTTTCTTTCCCCCCCCCCCCCCCCCACAATAGGAAGATTGTGCTTACCCCCCCCCCCCCCCCCCCACAATAGGAAGATTGTGCTTATAGCGAGTAGTTGTTATCTAGCTCGCTAACTAGGTAGGTTGGTAGGTAGGTAGGTAGTAACTTAGGTAGTAGGCAAGTAGGTAGGTAGTCAATTAGTAGTAGTATGACGGACGACGGGCTTATCGTCCATTCCTGCCCATGACTGCCGAAGCCCGTCACCACTCATTATTCACTCTATATCCTTTCCTCCTCTTCATTCTTCTTTTTGCCCCGTCGTCGTCTTTTCTGCCGCAAGTCGCCTTCTTCCCTTTCTACTCTCTCTTCCTTTCTCTCTCCGTCCCTTCTTGCCTTTTCCCTTCCCTCAATTTTGTCTTCCCCTCTCTAAGGTGGCCACCTCTTCACCAGCCCCTCCTCTACGAATTGTGTCCACAACACTCTGAAACCCCTTCATTCTTATCAATGCTTGTTTATGCGCACGACAACCTGGTCCAGTCGAACTTCGCAACGCGACCACCACCAGTACAACGAAGTATTCCTTCCTTGGTGAAACCCACAGCAAGGCATTTCTTAAGCGGCTCTTCTTCTGGCAGCCCCTCTCAGCCTCGGTAGTATTCTTGTATGGCTTCACCAGCACCCACTTGCACTCCAACACATCCATCTGTCCGCACCAGGAACTACCGCAAGACTACCGCGTCTAGACTAGATGTCTCCACGGTTGACCATCGCTCCAACTTTATTTCTTTCTCTGGAACATTGAATCTCTGACCCAAATTCATCATTGGTGCGATCGATACAGCTATTTTATTTTACCTTCGTCGCCATTGCGGATAACCGCCCCTCTCCTTCCACCTTCCCCCCCCTCCTTCCTCTTCCACTCTATCCTACTGCAAAACCTGGGTGGGAATTTCGGGAATTTGCGCTCTTTTCGGGATCTGGTTGATTGACAAAGTTCCTTGTCGCTTTTTATTCCCCCTCCCCACTATCTACGCTAGTTGCCTTCTGATTTGCATCTATCTATCTGTGAAGGGAGAAGGAAGAAAGGGAAGAAAAAAAGAAAAAGAATAGTGTTGGGGGTCTGCTATCAATCCTTGCTGTCTGGCCTCGCATCATCATCATTATTATCATCCGCCTCTTCCTCATCCTCTTTTGCTTCTCTTTCTCTAACCAGCGGACGGACTCGATTACCATCCCGGCGCGCACGCGCAAACTGCTTCCACCTTCATCACCTTCGCCTTATGAGGTTGCATTGCAGGTGTCGGCATGCAGGCGTATTATTTTCGTTCATCAACTAGCCCGAACCAGCCGGGAGGGTCGTATGAGCTTCCCCCCGTGCACGCGGTGACTTCGCCGCCAGCGCCTCTTCAACCGCCCGGCGGCCCACCACAACCACCACCCGCCGCTGGTGCTGCTTCACTGCTTTCCGCACCGCCCAGTCGACCCGACAGCGGTCTGCGGATGTCCCATCTTTTGCAACCCTTGGCCCAGCAAATGCCAACCCCTCAATCGTCAACCACCGCAACCTCTCTTCCGCCTTACTCGCGTTCCTATGAGTCCAGCGGCTCACCCGCGGAGGGCGCATCTATCCTCGCGGATGCGCCAACGCTCTCCGGCCCGGGACCGGGAATGCTACAGCCGGTGGGTGGTGTGGCGGCTGGACCGCATCCGCATCATCAGCAATCGCAGCAGCCTCTGCAACAGAAGAGGGCGTATCGGCAGCGGAGGAAGGATCCCAGTTGCGATGCCTGTCGGGAGCGCAAGGTCAAGGTATGGTTACGCCGCAGCCCTGTTACTTTGGCCTCGCATTGACCTTCCGCCCAGTGTGACGCCTCCGAGTCGTCCAGTTGCACAGAATGCACCAACCGCAAGGTGCGGTGCCAATTCACCAAGGAAACCAACAGACGCATGTCGTCTATTAAGTTTGTGTTACCGTTCCCTCCGTGACCACACATGCTAACTGCCTGGTAGACAAGTTCAAGACCTCGAAAAGCAACTGCTGTCAACCAGGCAGCAACTCCACCAACTACGATCGGGGATGCTAAGGTCGGACAATCTGATGGATCTCGACATTGATGCAACGGGCCAACCGCAGCTGAAGCTTCCGGATATCGGGTCCCGTCCCCCGCGCCGACCCAAGGCGCCCTTCGTGCATGATCTGACCCAGGCACGGATCAACCTGCGCAAGTACGGTCGAGGAATTCTAAAGGTTCCTCCACCTTATCGACAGCGGGGACCTAAATCCCTGCTAACGACGGATCCCCCACCACTTCCACCAAAAGATGTGGCGAATCGCTTGCTGGGGCAATATTATTCTTGCATCCACTCTATTCTTCCCGTCATTCACTGGCCTACTTTTGTGGCGGAGTACGAGGAGGTCTACCAAGCAGGCTCGTTACTGGGTATCCCTCGGGAATGGGCGGCAGTCCTATTCGGTGTCTTTGCATGCGGGTCTCTACACACCCTAGAAAGAAACCGGGAACAGGAAGGCAAGGAGTTTGTGAAGATCTGTTGCGGTGTCATCGATGTATGGCAGGATAACTTCACTCTAGACCAGGCCCGAGCGGCGCTGCTGGCCAGTATCTTCCTTTACGAAGCGAATTCCCGGTCGGCCAGCTGGGTGTGGATTGGGTCTGCTGTGAGAGTGGCCCAGGAGATCGGGTTGCACTTGGAATCCGGGCCCTGGTCACCTCTAGAGGGCGAGATGCGCAAACGAGTATGGTGGGGGATGTACACCTGGGACCGGTAAGAATCACCCTATCGTAGGACTCGTCGCCGAAGGTCCGAGACTAATTCATTCCCAGGCTTCTTGCTTTAGAGATGGGTAAACCAGTACTGATCAATGATCAGGACTGCGATGTCGACCTGCCATGTCCCGTTGATGAACAGTATATCTCAGAAGGCGGTGGTGTGCCGGAGAGCCCGCAAACAAGTTCCCTTCTTGCAAGCATCCATGTCGTCCGCTCGATCGGACAGCTATCTCGAACCCTGAAGAGCCCAACCATCAGTCCGGCCACTTTGGAAACTTTCGAGCGACACTTCAATGCCTGCTTGGCTACATTTCCCTCGCAGTATCTGCCGCGGTCCGAGCAATACCTTGACCCCCGTTCTCTTGCACCCATAATCTATCTGCAGAACGCGCGACTCCTTCTTCATCGACACAATATGTCCCCATGCTGCAATCGCGAGGCCCGAACGTCGGCGCTGGACTTTTGTGTGTCGACCGCCCAGGATACTGCTCGTCTTCTTTCGCGCTGTATGCGACCTCCGCCCGCCAGCCCGCGTCATGGACACCCGACAAGCAGCGGCGAGGATTGGCGACCACTACTCGCCTCATCAGCTGGCGCTATGCTATGTGTACATCTCTGGCGTTGCGTGCTGCTGCTTCTTTTTCGCCAGGAATATGCCGCTGCATTAGTCTGCGTACAAGCCAGTGCGGCGATTGGGGACTCACGCGCGGTGAATGCTGCCTGCGGACAATACTTGGCATTTTTCTTGAAGGCGCTACTTCAACGCAGCGAGACCATTATATCTGAACTTGACGAAGAGCTGATTGCGTATGTTTCTGGAGACATGCAAGGAACGATTGAAAGCAGCTGGGTATGGCAAGGAAGCGCAACAGGTTCTCAACTCGAAACGATGTCCCCCCAACTCAACAGTCCCACCGCATATCCGCGTCCCGAGATGGAGATCACGGAGAATTGGGAAGGTTGGGCTTGGGTTGAGCAGAGCGTACGGTATTTGAGTGAGAGACAGCAGCAGCAACAACAACAACAACAACAACAACAACAAAAAGAATTACAGCAACAACACCAACACCAACAAGAACAACACCATCATCATCATCATCTTAAGCCAGCGGAATCGTCTTACCTAGGACTTGACGCAGCAGCCACCAGCTCTGATGCAACCACACCCCAGTCAAGCTCATCTCATTCGCGCATGACGATCGCCAGTATCATTTAAGTGGTAACGCATAAAATGGCTGTGCACGGCACTCGGTGGGGTTCGTTGACATCTGGCTCTTTTACCAGGTCAGGTCCAGTCTCTCAGAATGAGCTCGTTTCGGTCGCACCACAGCCGAACTATCATGCCTGAGGCAGACATATCCCATCCGAGCAATCGAGCGAACGGGATTTTGCTGTACCAACGCCATGTCATAATATCTTGCCCGTGGGAGCTCTTTTCACGTCTCTTTATTAAAGCATGTGAGATGAAGTTATGGATCACGAAACAGCTTTTCTTTCTCCTTTTCTTTCCTTTCTCCATGATTCACTACTATAATATTTAGTATATTGTTCGCGTAGATATCCCTCTTGTTGGTTGGACAGAACCCCTTTTGTACAGAGTATGTGTACACGCATAGGCGATTGAGTTTTTTTTTATAGATGACACTATCCCTACACTGTTCTTGAATTCAAACTTGATGAGACATGTCCTAAGTCAACTCCGTTCATTGTCCAATCTCTTGAATCACAACAACAATACCATCTTCGCTACCATACCCCACGCCCCCCACCATCTATAGTACTAGCAACGTGATATTTCTCCCCGCATCCGAAAAATAGTCTTCATTAAAGAAAGCAAAGCAAGAAAAGCAAAAAGTAGGATGACAAGCGAACCAAAGGTGGGTAAGGTACAAGGACTAGGCCTGAGAAGGCAGGGAAACCTAGGTTTCTAAGTTGATACTCCGGCCGAAGCGCGCATACAGGGCGACCTTGAGTTGCTGCAGCTCCTCGCGCAGGTCGCCCAGTTTCTCCTCCAGCTTGCTCACCTCGGCGTCGATTTGCTCGGTGGAGGTGGCGAGGAGGGACTGGGCTTCTTCCAGGGGAAGGTGGAAGAAGGAGTCACCGATCTTGTAGCTGCAGTTGGGATGTCAGCGGATCATAATGGGGATTAGAAATTGGAGATGAAGGATGAGGGGGAAGGGGGGAGGAGGGTAACCACTTACGGAACGAGATCATCTTCATCTGCGAGTTCGAGCTCGGTGGAGATTTCTTCGAGATCTTCTTTGTCTTTCTGTTTTTGATTTCTCATATCAGTTTGTACTGCTAACTATTCAGGTGGAGGTTACGTAGTGACGACGTTGGCGGGGTGAATTTTGGGATAGAGAGAGGTAGGAGGAGAACGCAAGTCTGAAAGACAACTAAAGGGCTGCCGAGCTTACCTGCTTCAGTTTCAATTGCTCTTCCAACACAATTTCCCGTTGGTGGAGGCGACTGAAGCGGTTGATTTTTTCTTGGTCCTCGCGGCGGACTTCGTTGTCCTCGCCGCGGGCTTCATCTTCTTTTGAGAGCTGGTGGGGGGGGGAATTAGTTTTTTTTTTTTTTGGTTGGTGAATTAGATGGGGGAATGACTTTAATAGATCTATCAAAATGAGAAGAAGGGTGCTTACCATACGAGTTTGAATCATTTTGGAATAGACGGGTGCGAATTTCGAGGGGTGGAGAGGATGTTTGATTGATTGATTGATTGATTAATATTGGGATGGGGATTTGATGCTGGGGAGGTTTCTTCTTTGGGCTGATGTGGCCCGTGCACAGAGTGACTTAAGGATAACCTAACTACAATACGGGCGGACAGAGTAAGGTGAAGTGTCAAATAACCTGTGTTCTATAGACCTGTAAGAAGTACCACTGAATGCTATTGATAGTAAGGTAGTCTATTAGGTCTCTTTGTCTATCTATCTAGTATTCTCCTTGATGCTCCTGTGCTTTGTTGCTAGTGGCCAAGCTCTCGGTTCCTTCCTTGTATGCTTGCTAACTTGCTAACCTTCTATACTTCATCCTCACTGAATGCTAAGGTGACTCTTTGGTGCATCTGAATTGTTCTAAGCACATTTCTTCTCAACTCCCTCGTATCTCTGCTGGATGAACCTCCAGTCTCCTTTTCACATTCTGCACATGCGGCACCTGGTCGGGTGACATCATTGCCGTCAGCTGCTCGCCAGGCGCAGTGCCAATACAAGCCTTCCTCAAGCACGCGAGTTGCCTTCTCTCTCACACTGTCTCCTTCCTCCCTCGCTATTGTTTAATCCTTCGAAGCTCTCTCTTCCTCTCTCTCTGCCTCATTGCAAGGATTGCATTGTGGACGTTCTGCATGCTGACTTAGTCGACTTCCCTCTCGGCCCGCCCTCGCCTCGGAGAAACGAAGAGCTCCGGCCACCGCATCATCGCCGACAACTGATCGAATCAATTTCCCAGCCTGCCTTCTCGCCTGTTCATTCTGTGAACACGGCTTCTCCAGTTCACCACCTCATTTGACTCCCCACGAGGAATACTACTTTATTAACTTCGTCGCTGCTATCTGAAATTTTTCACGTTTTCTACTTGCGAAACTGTCGAGCTGAGCTCCGGTGACCAACGCAATCACCCTCTTCAGCCAAACGCGGCCCTGTCAGCACCACAATCAACCAACATCCACAATGCGAATACCGTCCAACCTATCCTCTACCCTTCTCTCCTCCGCCCTGCTCCTCCCCAGTCTGGTCTCTGCCTTGGGCAATTTCAACTGCAAAGACATAATCGTCGATAAAATCAAATATGACCTCAGCCCTCTCGGCGGCGTACACACCCTCTACAACGTGGTCGAGAAGCCCGAGGAATCCGCGACAGTCAACACGACATATGTGCTCAACATCTGCAGTATCCTGGGGAAGGCTGCCAATCGAGAGCACCTGAAGTGTGGAACGTCCAAGAACAGTGCGCTTCTCCCCTTGCCAACTTGCCCGCGAATCTATCCTCTTCTCTTGCGTCGCATCTTCCCATGCACTAACCTCTCGATCATATATAGTCTGCGGCTTCGAATACCGACGCCACGCGAACAGCAGCGTCGAAATAGACCAGGGCTTTCCCATCGCGGGCTACGACCACCTCGGATCCGGCAGCAAAGACACCGAGGTCACTCGCTTAAAGGAATCCGACTCATCCCGTGAAGGTCTCCTGATCAAATTTGCCGGCGGCAGCTATGAGGACACGACTGGCAAGAAGCACGCCGCCAAAGCCGTGATCGAGTTCAATTGCGACCCCGACCGGTCGGGGTTGGAAGGTCTCCGGACCACGAACGAGCCGGTCGGTAGTGAGGCTGCGTTGCGCGCTCGCGAGGAAGAGGGCAGCGGCAACAGAAATAGTACCAGCAGTCTTCAATTCAAGAGCTTCGGTCCCGTCGATGACGACACTTACGTGCTGCGGCTGGACTGGGCGACACGGTACGCGTGTGACAAGTACCGAGATGATAACAAGGGGGACTCCTCGAGTCATTGGGGATTCTTCACCTGGCTGATTATTCTGTATGTCTTCCCGTTTCCGTCCCCTTCTCTACTTGTGCCTTTAATACCCTGTCGTGGAGAGGTGAAACGCTAATCAACTAATCCCCGGATAATACAGTCTCTTCCTGTGTATCGCTGCCTACTTGATCTTCGGTTCCTGGCTCAATTATAACCGCTACGGTGCCCGTGGGTGGGATCTTCTCCCGCACGGGGACACGCTGCGCGATGTCCCCTACATCTTCCAGGATTGGGTCCGTCGGGTGGTCAACACGTTGCAAGGGTCGGGGTCGCGAGGCGGCTACAGTGCGGTTTAGAAGGTTGTCTATTTCGGTACGTGTTGTATTAAAGGAAGCTGGGAGGTGGGGTGCAAGAAAGCGTATGTTATAGTTGAGGAGCCGGCATACGGACGGATTCCAGGTATACTTCCATACTTAGGCAGGGATTGCCCTTGTGTGGTGGAGTGGTAGTTATGGTGAATTGGAAACTTTTGAATATGATACAAATGGCTAGTTTTCATTGCTCTGATACACGAGACAATTGATCATAATGATCGATGTATATGCTCCTTGGATACTCCTAGAAAACAAGTGGTAGCTGGCGAGCAGAAGGGGCACAGGGAGGCTGTTGATTGCAGACTTTCAAGGCACCAGCTACTACCATACGGATAGCTCATAACTCACAATCATCACTACTGACTACCAGAAGAATGAATGGTTATCAATTTCCCTTCTCAGAATCCTCCACAAAAGAGATAGTCAAGCTTCGAAATCCTCAAAGTGATGGTAACAATTTCCCAGACCCTTTCGTGATCATGACTGACAAATTGCATTTGATCACAAAGAACAAACAACACAAACAAATCAAACACAAGCACAAGATCATCATCCATCGACATACAAACATGACATAGTATGGTATGCATACTTATGCAGATCGTATGCACATCGAAATCGCGTCATCAAAGCTAAGATATCGTCAAAGTTCATCAATCAAGGCGGGAAATGATCACACAATTGAAACAAGGGATTCTGAAGGGGACAGATTGATACTAATAATCTGATCCGCCGCCCCCTCTTATTCCCCGTTCACCTGGTTTGCTCTTGCATTTTCCACACCGCTGGTTTTCTTTTCTTTCTTCTCGTTTCGTTAATGCAAACTGTACTCCCCTCCAAAACCCTCGTCTTCACCTAACATCATGAATTGAGGTAGGTTCGGGAGACTCTTTCCTAAACCTTCATGGCGAAGTTCTTCAAATACAGATAATCCGCCATGTTGGCATCCACGGTCTTGCGGATGAGGGCAGCGCCTTCGGGCCCGTATTTCTCCTGCCATTCGGCGTCGAATTGGGCCTCGGTCTTCTGGGCTCGGGGCTGAGTTTGTGGTGTTAGTTTTGAGGAGTCCAGTTTCACCAGCTGAATGGGTTTGGGTGTATGTGAGAGGAAAGAGAGAGGAGAGAGAGGTAGGTGGTGCGTGTTCTGGTGACTTGTCTTCCTCCAGCTCTCTGGATCTCTTTCTTTCTTTCTTTATTTTGTGACGTGACGTAGGAGAGAGGCAATGAACAGAATAAAAGGGAGAATACTAACATGTTTCCTCCCCACCAAGCCTGTCGACTCGATAGCATCGTTATGGAATCCCCTCCACTTCTCGAACGCGGCCCGCGCGCACGCGTGATCGGCCTCCGTATCCCAGCACAGCATTGAGGGATCGTACTTAAGGCCCACGCTACGGCAGAAGGCCTCAATCATCGGGGCCGGGTTGTCGAGCATATCGTCCGCGTCGACGACGCAAATCTCCACCTCTTCCTCCCTGCCACCGCTGCTCCGTCCGGTCATGCTGGCGGAGGAAGCCGAGGACGACGGACGCGAGGAGGCGACCGACGAGGAGTCCTGCTCCGTCTCGTCATGCTCGTACGTGGCGACCCGCGGGCCGACCAGACGCGTGTTCCGCAGATAGTCGAACGTCCGGCGGAGCTCGTCGTACCCGGCCTCGGCAGGGTCGTAGTTCTGGAACCCGGTCACCGCATCCAGCGGCGGGATCGTGCAGCGGTAGTACGAGGGTACACTATAATGCGGGTCGCGGATGAGGAAGGCAAAGTGGAACTGCGACAGGAGCGCCCGCGGCATCACGGTCGGGTTGCCGGGTTCCGCCTCCGTCGCGTACGGGTACGGCGTTGCCTTCGACTCCTCCGGCTGCTCTGTACCTACGCCGCGCTTGATCCTGTGCAGGGATGGCGCGATGCTGGCGGGTTGGCCGTGCGGCGGAAGGAGGTAGTGGATTATGTCCTTGATGAAGACGCGTTTGCCCTGTTTTTTGGGGTAAGTATCTTGCCAGGTTTGTGGGACTGTGAATGTGTGGATGTGTTGGGACACATGGTGGTAGGCTGGGGGAGGGAGAAGACATTAGGGCAGAAAGAACAGGCTTAGTAGGCTGATGCATGCTCGCCAGTCCATCCGGTTGTTCCTGTGGTTTATCTCCCTGAGCGTGTAGGGGAAACGAAACAAGACACTCGCAGGTGATCCACATGCAGGCACGGAAGAATCATGCTTGTAGATGCATCACGACGGCAAGCAGAATCTTGCTCCTGCGTTTTCCCCGGATTTCTCTAATTTGGCAGACCGGACCCTCATCCGAATGGATTCGTCGACGATCTCAAACTACGATGGCCGAAGGGGAGGGAACACAGTGCTAGGGACAACGGAAAGAGAAGTGGTGAAGAAAACAAAACAGGCAAGAAAAAGGGTCGGACCTCAGATGATTCGCGCTCGATGCGATCCAGGACGGTCTTGAACGTCGACTGGCTGAATCCGCTGTCCAGACGGGCCTGTTCATCGTCGGCGAATCTGGTCGACAACCGCTCCGGTCCATAGTAGAAGGCATCACCAAACGGCTCGTGGACACACTGGATGGTATCCCGCTGAGTCATGAAGACCTAATGCAACCAAGATTAACGAGATGTTACAACCCAGGAGATGAGATGGGGTGGGAGAAGTTGCAGGGAACAACATACTCGCTCAAAGGCCGTGGAACACGCGCGGGGGTGAGTAGCCACAAAGATGGGCTTCTGCAACATCGTGACGGAGTATTTTCTCCGGTCGATGGTCGAATAATGACACGATAATCCTTTTTGGACTGCTGATCTGTTCGATCGCTGGGAAATCGGTTTTTCAGATTTCCTCACTGCAAGTTTCAAGTACAAGATCTATCGACCAGGGAGTTTCACCACTGGCGTAGGTACTCGGGGATTATTGGACGTAGCACCCTTTTTCTCGTCCGGTTTACTGGATTTCGAGGTGGGTGGAATGTTGTAGTGTATGCTTGGACGAACCTATTCAAGCAGTCTTGCAGGCACACCTAGTTGGGAGGATTTCTTCCAGGCTGCAAGTTGACTGAAAGATAGAGGAAAGAAGGGAGGAGGAGGGGAAGGCAAAATGAGGGCTCGCGGGCTTTATACTGGCTATGGATGTGTCAGTCAACAACAATTTTTATTATCCGACTCCAATATTTTAACTCAATCAAGCCATTCAAGAGGCGAGAGCAACAGGTACTACTGCTGTTTAGGCTTACGAAAATTTACTGGAGGTTTCCCACCAGCGAACGAGGAACAAGAGGGATTCGAGTGAAACCGGGCAGATTGACCCGTGGATCGTACCCCGATAGAGCTGGCCGGCGGCGGACTCGTACTACGAGCCTATTCTAATCCACTTTGTTTCCTGTGTGCTATTTTAATTAGTAGGTTAGTAAGACTTGGGTACATCTAGTTGCTCCATCATTCCATCTCAACAAAGACCGAACCATTTAGTTCAGCGAGTAGTGTGTGTCTCTCTTCATCCAGTCCCCCTTGGCGTATTTCTAGGAGGACAGCTCAACGCATTTTTAGCGGTTGAAATTTGCCTGGCAGTTCAAGTGAGTGCTGTTCGGTTAATCCCGAAGACACGTCGAGGGGAGGAATTCGTGGTGATAGCGATCATGAATAATGCAAGGCATAAAGTCAATAATAATCCCGCATGCATTCCAAGAGAAATGACTTCCTCCCCCCTCCCCCCTCCCCCAAATCTGTATTGAAACTTTACGGCTTATCTGCCCTGGATTCGATTCGCCTGGCGGCGCTCGCTTGAAGACTGGGTTGAGCCACGAAGGCGCGGTGCCCGTGGTCATGGATCATGCCCAGCCCGCCCGATCGCGGAGGTTCCCCGTTCCTGGCGCACGGTTGGTCATTCCCTGTTGGGCATCGTCCCCAGCGGCCAATGCCTGTGGCGGTCCAGTGGGCACAGGGAGGAGGAGAGGCGGAGATGCCCACTCTTTGACGTCACGGGCTAAGGCCTGGAAACGGTCCTTTCCATGGCTGTCTTCTCCATAGCAGAAGCGGGGGGATGGTGGGGGGGGGGGGTTTCAGTCTCAAGAAAGAGCCAAAGAGAAGAGAGTCGAGACAAGGAAAAGTTGGACAATTAGGGGAGGGTCTCAATGCCCCGCGAGAAGTGTCTGTGCCTGTGGGTACTTTCTTTTTTCTTTTCGCTCTTTTCACAATTGCTCAGACTCAATCCCAATATCTTGTAGAGTACGGAGTACGGAGTAGGGGGATTTTTGTCGTGAAACTCCACACAAGAATGAAAGAGGTGGATAATCTTGCGCAACCTTGGGAATAACAATGCAGACTCTGTTGCTGTTGCTGCTGATGGGCTGCCTGGCTAGCTGTCTTCGCTCGCAGAGACTCCGAGAATATTTTTTTTTCCTCTTTTCATCGTACATGTCCTGTACTTTCGGACTAACCTCGGAAGTACGCATAGGTTAGTCCGAAAGTACGCATAGCATTCTTTGAAGCTGGTAGTCAATGATGTGTCTGGCTTGACTTAGTAACTCTAATGTAGTTTAATCCCGGCCAGACCAACAAGACATGCCAATCACGATGACGGGCCGATGGCTCTCCAACGTGGGGGGCGTTACTAGTACTGTCTCGTGCGACAGACAGCTCATGATGCTGGTGGGGTTGAGACTTGAGTGAGTGCAGTGGAGGAAAGCAACAGACAAGTCGAGAATAGGTCCTATCAGATTTCGAACCTGAGAGAACAGAAATAGAGACAAGGAGAAGTATCCGGAGAGGGAAGATGACTCCGTTGGTCTTTGTCATTGCCATCACTAAATCAGGGTCCAGATCACCTGATGTCCTGATGTCCCGATGGCCTGATGGCCTGATGGGACAGGCTGGGAATCCAGGACCTTCCAGAGCCTGCACGTGACATCCAGCAAGAGCGAGCAAAGCCGCGGTGTTTCTGGAAGGCGGTGGAAGCGGGCCCGTGTCGTCATGGCGGGAAGCCGG